CAGCACAGCGATGGCTACTGAAAATCGGCAAGAAGACGATGGATATATCAGTCCGCTGTAGAACCGCTAACACTTCTGAACGGAGGAGGCAGACAACGCACTTCCTTTGTGACATTTCGGATAATACAGTGAGAGGTCACAATCAACATTTCCTCGCTCAGCGGAAGAGAGCAGGAGTTAGTTGATAAGGTCACAGCTTACTAACTGGGTATACCTTATCAGCGAAACACCAGGTCTCTTGAATTCTGAGCTTCTATGCTGGTAGTTGTGTTTCACTCAAGTGTCGACCTACGACACGCGCGAAAGCCAGTGCTGGTGTTCTAGTAGAACTCAGCCTGGATTACCGAGTCATTGAATGAAAGCCTGTCTGTGGAAACATGGCAGTCCTCCGTTTTACCCTGTAACAGGCGAAAGCTTTTTCCACATTATCGGTCTATGCGCCCCATTTCGCAAGGAGAATATAATTCCTTCCTGGATGAAGTGGAAGGAGCTCTGTACAATATGCCGGCTAATATTCTACCACTCTGATGCGCTTGATTTGAAACAACGGCCCTAGTGATTGGAAATAACGGCAAGCCGTTGCGTCTTTATGCAAACAACTCCGTCTGTTACGAATAGCTTGTTCGACCATCAGTATATCTGGTTTGGGGAAGCGTGTGCATAGATGATCCATTTCATATTAGTATCGATTTACGACGTCCCATAATGGATGTTCGCGTTAAGAGAGACGCAGAACTGTCGACGATCTTGTTGGCATTTCCTCTGCAAGCGACAAAAGGAACCAGAGAGGCTAATGATAAACGTTACTTTTCTGCTTTTACGAGAGCGAAGTTAGCGAACTGTCTGATATATGACGTTCTGAGCAGGTCCCATGGTTGGGAACGAATGACTTGGAAACCGAATGAAAGCTGTTTATAAGTGGCTTGAGGGAAAATTGTTTCTCAGGAAAAGTTCGATGACGTGTTGAAGTTTCTCTTCTTGGCACTTTCTGTCAGATTTCTAGACTGCAAACAGATTATTCTGGCAGGGCATACGCCGTCTCTGGGATGGAAAGAAGAGTAGTTTAACAGTCCTGAAGGACAAGTCCAGACGCCTTCTTAGCAGAGAACAAGGTATACATGAGCGATGAAGAGCATACTTTAAAGGACTTCTTAGCCACGTGCAGGCGCAAGAAGATTTGCCTGAAGAGCATCAGGGAACGTATAGTTAGTTTTCAGTCGATCATATCGTCGAAGATGCGAAAAGAAGGAAAACTGACAAGGCTACTGGAACCATGAATTCCAGGTCGTCGAGATACTTAAGGATGTAGGCGAATGAGGCTTCCTGTACCTGACCCGTTTCTGTTAAATTGCATTAACTACGTGAAAGACAACAGTGGACTAAAGATCTGAGGTGGTAGTATCCCTGCTCAGGAAAGGAGACCATAGGGAGTGTTCCTATTATTGGGCGTTACCTTACCGAACCTCCCGCGCATATTTGCATAAAAGAGCTGTAAAGAGGTGCCGCACAGCAGCAGACTCCAAAATCCAAGAAGAACCGTGTGGGCTTTTGCTCTGGTCATAGCTCCTCTGACCTAATCTTTGCCCTGCGCTAGATTGTTATGAAACAGTGGGAGTTAGCTCTTCCACTTTACATGTGCTTGGTAGACCTAGAAAAAGCTTACGACCGGATTCCTCCCATCAAAAAATGGACTTCCCTGCAGAAATGCGAGATTGATGGCCAGTTATTGCGAACTATCCAGCCACAATATGTTGATAGCACATTCTGCTTCAGGGCGAGTGGCACTAAGTCGAGACCTTTCAATATTGGCTGTGGCCTCTGCCAAGGCTGCGTTTTGTCCCCTCTCCTGGCAGTGCGAATGAGAATGAATTAATGTATTTTCCTGCCAGAATATACAGATCTTGATCATAAGTTTCAGCACAAACGAATAACAACAAAATGCAACGAAACATAAGTACACGTTGAGTGGTAGACAAATTAAGTAGTTGTTTGCACCATTTTTCAGCAAACGACGATGTGTCCTTCATAATGCGAGCCAGGACAGGAATGAGTGGATTTCGTCTCAGTTCTGTTGGATAGTAGCCGTCACTTTGATCTTGTACCAGTGTATAGCAGTATTCAAAA